GAGGAAACTAACGTGTTCTGAAATGCCTGTTACAAAGACCTGTACTGTCTCTACCCAGCCTGAATGTCACCTGCACAAAGTTCTGACACAGTCTTCTCTAATCCCTGCCCCTCCCTGTCACTCTGCCCACTGTTCCTCTACTGCAAATATGTGTATTTTATGTCTGTGTGATGTTCTCAAAGGTAAAGACAGTACTTATTCTATTTTCCACAGCCTTAGAAGGACTTCAGGAAATATGTGATGAATGAATGAACAAATAATGACTGTTTAAGGCTGGAAACTTTTCATGCATGTTTCCCCAAAATGTCATGTTTGAAATTTTAATGAGGATGTAGGGAACTGGACTCATTTTGTAAGTTATGTTCTACTACACAGCTTTTTCTCCCCCCTTGGCCTACTTAAAATCTTCTAAACTTTACAGGGGCTCAGTAAGTGGTAAATTCCTTCCTGGCACAAGCACGGCCCATAGTCCTCACTGGGATGGCTTTAGATATCTGTGCTCCACATACCACATGAAAGGGCAGAAGCAGCCTGAGTCAGTCCAGTGAGGAGTAAGGGTGTAATATGTGGGGACCTGGCTCAGTGCTGTCCTCATAACACATCCCTGAGAAAAACACAAGAAAATGGTCACTATTCATCACAAATACTAACTCTAAGGAATCTGAAAGTAATGGGGAAGATTCTGCAACTTAAGGAAGAAGAAATAAAGTAAGATTCCACAAGCCCTTAGGAGGAGCCTCATTCCATGCACAAAAACATACACAGGCCACTGTCAACTTCAACATGTGAGAAAATGTTGACGCTGTTTAAGTGAGTAATCTAACTCTAAATAAATCACTCTATCACAGAAGGTGACCCAAGTGGCAGAGCCCTTCAGAGGTAACAATTTACAAAACAAGTGAAGTTTTATTTGCAGTCTGCCTCAGTAGTATTGAAGTAGTCAATACTACTTCAAACAACTTATCTGAAATCAATTTTATCATTCCCAATAATGCAATCCACAATTTGGGTATCATCATATCATGGTTAACTGTTATCAAAAGGACGTGGCCAGCAGGTATGGTGGCACACACCTGTCATCCCAGCAACTTAGGAGGCTAAGGCAGCAGGATGGCAAGTTCAAAGTCAATCTCAGCAATGGTGAGGTGCTAAGCAATTCAGTAAAACCCTCTCGCTAATACTATTTTTTTTTAAAGGCGGGGGGAGGCGGGGCCTGGTGATGTGGCTCAGTGGTTGAGTGCCTTTGAGTTCAATCCCCAGTACTAGCACCCACCCACCCCCAAATAAAAAAAAATGACTTGGCCAAGCCTCACTAGCAATCTAGCCATTTGATCGAGATCATCTTTCTCAGGCTTTATAAAAATGGGAATAATAGCACCTACCATAGAACCCTTTCATTAAGGTGAAATGTAAGAAAGCATAAAAAGCATACTTTTTTGTAAATCCAGCAGCTCAGGAGGATGAGGCAGGAGGATCGTGAGTTCAACCTCAGCAAAAGTGAGGCAATAAGCAACTCAGTGAGACCCTGACTCTAAATAAAATACAAAATATCGGGCTGGGGATGTGGCTCAGTGTTCAAGTACCCACAAGTTCAATCCCCGGTACCTTCCCCCTCCCCCAAAAAAGCATGCTTTCTAAGATGCTAGCCTACAGGAAGGGCTCAAAGGATGTCTGCTGCTACCATTGCTCCAACATCCTTGGTTTCTGACTTTTAGTACTTAACCTAATAGAGTTAAGAACCTTAAAGAAGGAGAATTTAGAACCATCAATTTGTCTCTTAGAAGTTCTCTTTGAAAAAGAGAAAGAAATGGGGAGGAGAAAGGGAAGTTGAAAGAAGGGAGAAGGGAGAAAAGGAGAGGAAAGAAAATGCAGGAGAAAAGACTAAAATAGAGAAATGATGTACAGGTAGCCTGTCTTTCTTCAGGCTCTAGGAACTTCGAAAACAGAAAACCAACTGTACTTGCAAATAATGTCTGTAGTTAGAAACTGCCAGGCAAATCGTTTAAAATCTTCAACTAGAGAAGTCAAAACACATTCAAGTCTAAAAACAGAGCAGAACTTTGTCACAATAACTTCAAGTTCAAATAGCAAAACCTATACAGTTTCTTTTATAAAAGTCACCTCTTCTATTTCTTTATTCTCCCTCCCTAGCAGGATATTTAAATTTTATGCATACAATTTCCCAATGACTTGAAGCACATCCTACCAATACTGTGAATCTCCGAAACATATTTGCATGTTGGGTGTCTTTTTTTTTTTTACTTTGCCATTCCCTTCAAGAATACCTAACATGGCTGATTTAATTGTAGAACAGCAGTTTCATTAATGATCAATAATAAATTGGAAACTTGTTCAGATAACTATATTCAGCCAGTTCTTTTGTGAATAAACCTCGTAAAAACTATGAAGGAAATATAAGAAGGCACAAATCCAAGTGACAACTGATATGTAAGTTGATCTCCCTTCCTAGCTTTATTAGCTCTGGCCTTCTGACAATAGGCACTTCTAGAAGGAAGCCTAGGAGTCCTTCAAATCCTTTGTCTAAAAAACAAAAGACCACAGGGATATTTGAAGTTAGCTCCTACTCAAGGACAGACTAAATGTTACTCCCAGTATTCTGTGTCTTCTACTGAAATGCACACGCATCTGATTTTCCCTTTCTTTCAGTTTTTTATTACTTTCTTTTCCCTCTAAAACCAAAAACTCAAATTTAGAATCACAGATAGAGATGGGTATAGATCAAAGAGATAACTAGTTCCACTTAGTTAGAAATTGATCTACAACATGCAAGATAGCCTTTTTAAAGTATTTCCTGTTGGTATATAGCTCTAACCATGAGAAAAATCTTTAAATATTAATTTCAACTGAATGTATGCTGTGTGCTGGATCCTTTGCTAATAAGAACATTATAAATATCATCTTAATTAATCTTAGTAACAAAACTTTGAAGATGGGGTCACTGTGTCCACTTTAATTTTGGAAAGACCAAAGATCATAGGTAATAAGTAACTTGCCTGAAGAGACACAGTTATTAATTGAGAGAGCTGTAAGAAAACCCTAGGGTTTACCCAAGTGCTGGCCTCACAATTGTTACAGGCCTTAATTTTGATTTCTGTCACCACTCTCCTCTAAGATGGCCCTTCAAATATTCAAAAACTGCCTGTGAAGCATTTGGTCTCCACTGGGGGTTCCACCACCTTCCTCAGTAGAATGGAGAAGAATCTGTGAGCTTATTAAGTCTACATCCCTACATAGAGGAGACCTCAGAGTAAAACCAAGGGGAAATCTGAATGAATCCACTAGTTCCATTTGCTTTTAGCTATTTGCTTTGATGACCAATTTTACAGGTCACACAGCAAAGCAGTATAATCCCATCAGCTTTGCTATCAGAAGCTCCTCTGATGGATGGTCACTATGGTAACAATTGTTTAAGCAGTTTTTACGTGGAGGCTGCTTTAATCTTTCTTAAATCAGTTGAAATTGCCAACCATTTACTGGGGCCTACAACAGTTGTCTGATGGGTGAGAATCTTTTGACTTCAGAGGGCCAAAAACCCCACACACAGATCATGCTAACTCTGCCATTTTCTGAATGTGCTTCTAAGGAGCCACAAAGTTTTAACAATACACAAGCAGCTGACCAATGAATCTTTCCTTGCCTCCAGTCACCTTCTCTGACATCTCAAACCATCCTGCTTCTTTATCCCATAAATACCCCTGAACCCTATCCAAGGGAGGTAGATTTGAGATTTGGGGCTCCCACTTCCTCAGCATAGGCATCATGTGAATAAACTCTTTTGCCAAACTTGTCATTTCAGTGATTGGCATCCTGTGCAGTGGGCAAAATGGGGCTCACTTGGTAACATGTTCTAGTCAGCTTTTTTGCTGCTACAACTAAAAGATCCAGAACAATTTTAGGAGAGAAAACATTTATTTAGGGGCTCACAGTTACAGAGGTCTCAATCCATAGACAGCAGACTCCATTCCTCAGGGCTCAAGGTGAGGCTGAACATCATGGAGGAAAAATGTGACAGAGGGAAGCAGCTCACATGATGATCAGTTAAAAAAAAAAAAAAAACAGAGAGAGCTCCACTTGCCAGATACAAAATATATACCCCAAAGCCATGCCCCCAATTTCCCACCTCCTGCAGCCATGCTCTTCCTGCCTTTAGCCACCACTCAATTAATCCCATCAGGTGACTAATTCACTGATTGGGTTAAGGCTCTCATAACCCAATCATTTCTTCTCTGAACCTTCTCACACATGAGCTTCTAAGGGACATCTCACATCTAAACCATAATATAACAAGGGTAAGAGGGAGAGCCAGACATCCAGTTTCCCAGCAAATTCTTTATGCACCCTATCTCTTCAGAATCCCCTCATCTTCTAACTCCATGACCACATTATCCCATCTTTACCCACATTTCTTAGTCACCCAGGAAGATTGCTCTTCTCCATTCTGCTGAAGGCCCCATGACCAACCTGGAGAAGAATTTGTGGGCCCTTTAAGTCCACACCCCTACAAGGAAGGGGACCTAAGAGTGAAACCAAGGGAAAATCTGACCAACCTGGAACCACAACTGCCCTCCAAGGCACACAGCAAATGCCCTTCTATAGGAGCAGGGAAAAGGAACCCAGGACAATCTCCATTTAGTGCTTACTGCTTACACATGGGCTTGGAAGGAAGTCAGTTTAGAAGACAAACTGCTCGAGTATGACATGCATTTAATTGCCTCTGAGGCAATCAGAAAGCAACATATCAACAAACACAAAATCAAGGTACAAACCAGAAGCCAGGTTCTGATAAGAAAGATCTCCAAAGAAGCTTCTGCAAAATGAGATGTGAGAAAGTTGGTGTCAGATATGTCTAGTGGGTACCACGGAGAGAAGGATAGCAATGGAGGAATACTACGGAAATGACTGCAAGTGACTAGGAGGTTACTTGAGGAGAGAAGGTTCCTTTAGAGAGCCTTTCAGTAACATGTGAGATTCTTTTCTACCTGAATTGACCAGTTGCTGTTCCATCACCCCACAGCCAAGAACTTCTAGCCATTCTCCGTGGAAGTTGATCTCCATCTCGAAGGAAGGATGAGTAAAAGGAAAGTAGCAGTCCACCCATCTTATCTCCAACCCTGCAGAGATGACAAAGAAAAAAGAAAGAGCATCATGAGGCAGTCTACCCTTTCTTGGGATCAAATCTGCCCTTCAGCAAACGACATCAATTACTACATTCTGAGTAAAATAAATAGCAAACAAACTAATTTGCAACATGTTAGGGTAAGGCAATAAATCTTATAACTTGTGAATAACTAGGCATGTCTTTCCAGATATGAAAAGCACTGTGTGTAGTTCTGGGACCCTCTAAAACCAAATCAATCACTTGTCAATTTCGGCAACCATTTGGCAAAGGAAAAAATTAAGTCCAGATCATGAGAAAGCACGCAATTCTCTCTAATTTCTAGAAATGAAAGTGACACCATTTCAGAGTTTTTTAAAAAATTATATTTTTGCTATACTATCCTCCAAACATGCATACCCACTGATGTAAGAAAAATTATGAGATATCCTATACTTACTTACAAGGGCCAATGGATGGGGTATGGGTAGAGATAAGAGAAGTTAATCCGTTAACATTTGCAGGTGAAAGCAAAACAGACTGTTCCATTTGCCTGAATGTACACTAAAGTCTTGACTTAAATCCCATCCTGGCCAACCACCAGGGCTCCTGGTCCCCTGCACTCTGTTTTAGTATAAACTTTCTGGACTCTCAACCCCCACTCATGCAGAAGCAATGGTTACTTGCCTATGGACTGCCCTATCATCCCAAAGCTTTCTCAGTTCAACGTAAATGACAAATATCTTCCTTACTCAAATCTGCATGCTTTAAAAAAACAAAACAAAAGAACACTCATAGCTCTGGTCCACAGGACCTATTTCCAGCTGCCATCTAGCCCTATTTTTGGTAGTTTTAGGAAATTATTCCAGGATCTGGTCCTTTTTTCTGGTTAGCACCTGCAATGGTGGTATTATTATTATTATTATTAGCAAAAAAAATTTTATTTAATAAAAGAAAGACTAGTTCACTTAAAACAGTGAAAGCCTGCAAAGATCAGATGTCATTTAAATGCCGAAAAACCATGTGAGAGGTCACCTGGCAGCTCCATGCCCACGTTCCAGAACACAGAAAGTGAGCATTTGCAAATCATTGTGCTCCTTGCCCTTAGTGGCAGGGCTCTCATTTTCAGGCAATTCTAAGGCCTTGATAAAGGATCCAATTTTCAAGGGTAACATACCCTCCCATAGGAATCTAAAATACCACATTCTCAGTCAAGACTATCCTATGGAAATTAGAATGTGAAATGAATAAAAATAATAAAAGCAATAAAAAATTGCTTCTATCTATTGAGCCTTTACCATCCCATTTCACAGATGGGGGGAAAATTAGAGAGGTCAAGTATCTCACTCAAAGTCACAAAACTAGCAGACGACTGGCTACATCTAGGTCTGTCCACTTCCAAAATCCAGATGCTGACAATTAAAAAGTAACTCTCTGTATCTATGAATCAAAATTCAAATGAGAGGAGAATTATGAGACACAGGTCTTTTCCTGTGCCCCAAATTCCAAAGAAGAAGGTTGATTTTTTTTCTTTTCAGTTGCACTTATTTAGTTTTAGTTGCATTTATTTTCCTAGCTACCTGCTATCTATGGCAAGCATTTTAGTTTATAATAGTAAAATATTTTCTTTTTATTATATATGAGTATAATAAACATTAAATTGCACATGTGAAAATTTGATAAATGTCGATAAACATATACATCCATAAAACTGTCACCATAATCAGGATAATGCCCATATCCATCACCCTCAAAAGTTTCCTGTGCCCCTCTGTAATCCTCAGCACCCAACTGCAGTCCCCACTTATTCTCCAGGCCTCCCAAACTCCCAAGAAACCACAGATCTCTTCTGTTGCTATAGTCAAGCTCGCGTTCCCTAGAATTTTATTAAAAAGGGAATCACACAGAATGTAATGGTCTTTTGTTCATCTTCTTTCACTCTGTATATTTTAAGATTCACCCATGTTGCATAAAGCTGTGATTCATTGCTTGTTATTGCTGAGTACACTTTGCAAATACTTTTTTCATCTGGGAAAAAAAGATGACCCAGTTGCTGGCCACTTAGGCAAAGTCCCCAAGTTACCCAGGCAGTCCAGACTTTTCTGTGTGAAGCTCATACATGAAGAGCAGTTGTTTATTTGCAGCTATATTTGAGAAGATATTTGTACACCTGTGTGTCTGCCCTTCTTTGGGACCAACAATCCCCTATCAATATTTTCATAAAAGCACCAGAGACAATCCTGCTAGCAAACAGAAATGTGTGAAGCCTTAGGACATAAAACTGAGACCAGAAGGACCAGGAGACGAAACAATTTTGAACATTCTTTTTTGTAACTCCTGGCAAGTATCAAATTATTTTATGAAAATAGTTCAGAAAAACAAATTCTATCATGTAGCTTTTTATACTGGTTTGACTTTTGCCAAAAATAGCAACAGCACTAAGGAATAACATCATAATTTCTTCATCATATCATTAAATATCTAAGGGCTCAGAATAGAGTAAGTGCATTCTGCACCAGTTAATTTCCCTGTATCAAATTTTTAAAATTCCTTCAAATAGGCTAAATAGAGTTTAGTTTATATAACTTTACATCTCACACTAATAACATCTTAGGTTCCCCCAAGTATGAAAGAAAAATTTTCAAGACATTAGTAGGCACTCAAAATAGTCATTTGTTGAAGCTGGGAGCAGTGATAGTAATGCATGCCTATAATCGCAGCAGCAGCTGGGGAGGCTGAGGCAGGAGGATCACAAGTTCAAAGCCAGTCTTAGCAACTTACCAAGGCCCCAAGCAACTTAGCGAGACCTTGCCTCAAAAAATAAGAAGGGTTGGGGATATGGCTCAGTAGTTAAGCACCCCTGGATTCAATTCCTGGTACCTAAATCATCATCATCATCATCATCATCATCATCATCATTTCATGTACTGATTAAAGTCATTCCATGATCAATCATTTTAAGTGCTGAATACCTGCTGAATACTGTCTCATGGGAAGCGAGGTCTCCATAGAGACAGGATCCTATTTACACAACATCTGTGCTGGTGCTGATGGGACAGAACAGCTTAAGAATGAACTGGAAAGTGATGTGAGGCCTCTTCCCCTCTCCAGAAACTTTTCTTTTCTTAATGTCTTTTACTTAGGGCATTTGCTTTATTGCTTCTATGATTAGGAAACAAACTGTAATTTTGGGCTGAAATTGTCTGCAACGTTGAAAAAATTCTAATGACAAAATGTCCATATGTTGCATCGACCATTACCCTTCTGGTTTAAGACCTTGGCCACCACAGCCCTCAGTTTCTTTGGGCTCAGTCATCCTACAGGTGTCTCTTCATAGCAATGAAAACAATTGCTCCACAGTGAAAACTACACACAGCAAAGCATGATAAGGCAGGGAAGCAAGCCAAGTATTTCAGGACCAAGGAAGATGATAAATATTAATGATAATATGGAACAGAACCCATTGATAATAAAATAAAAATAAAAAAAGGAAAACACAGATTGTCCAAAGTTGTGTCTTATGAGACTGATTCTTAATTAATTTCACCCCCTCAGATCCTTTGTTAAATTTCCTTTTTAAAGTCCATATAACCCTACAAAGAATGCCAAATCCATACACTATTCGTTTCCTTTGATCTACTACGTTAAGAACTTCTTCAGTTTTATTTCCTTTATATAAACAGGCAAAAGCCTAAACTGCCAAACACCATTTTTGAGCAGTCTAATGGCTCTACTTCAAACAAACAGTAATCATTTGAAAGCAAATTATATCAGTTAATGTGTAATTTTGGCAAAATTACTATATTCTTTTATGTATTCTATTTAAATTTCCATGATATTGACACATTAATGGTGGTCATTTTTTAAATCACTACAGTATAATCATTCATTGAATAGCCCCCAAATAACTTTTCCTTTTGTTTTTTGTGGCAGGACCTCAAAATTAATGTCTTACTATATCTGCTTAAAATGGCATCTTAACATGCTTTTGGCATTAAACTATACCATACTAAGTAAATATCTCAAAATTGTGACTTATTTCCCATGTCAAGTATCAGGAGTCGGTAAAATGTCCATAAAAAATTACGTATTTTGTGTTTCATATTAATAAAGGGGAAATTTTAGTAAGCATGTCCACATCATATGAATTCATTATTCATTAGGCTAATCTCTTTTTGGGGTTAGAGAGGAAAATTAAACACATGTATTATATATCTAGTGAAAAATAAGGCTGAAGTTTTTTCTTTTTACTTCTTTTTGGGGGGAGGAGGAGAAACACACTTTAACAAATGAGCAAATCACATTTACAAATGAGCTTAAGGCTTTCTATTTCAATTTTCAGCCTAGGGTCAGGGAGAAGAAAATCCAAATATAAATTCAAGTCTCAGATTTCCACCATTTTTCCTGTGAAATTATGAGGACCCCAGCTGTATATAATGACAGCTACTTCACACAGTGATTTCAGAAAGGACCCTGCAGGAAGGCAGATTTACCTAGGTTTCACTTCTAAATGGAGATGCTGAGTTTGTTCAAGGATGAGTAGGCCCCAATGTCTAAAAGCAACCCCTAAAGCAGGACCTCTAAGGTGGCAAGTAGACATTTCTTCACGACAGTGATATGCACCCAAACAGAAGATATGTAGCAAGAACTCTGATTCCTTCTCAACTCTGGCAGCCCCACCATGAGGACAAAGGGCACAGGGAAGGCTGCACAGCATCTTGCCCACCCACACAGTGTACAAGCTTCCCAACTTCTGCATCCTTGGCAAGACCATCAGGGGACAAAATTCGGGGGGGGGGGGGGCGGTGATCATTTCTCGTCAATCTTTTACCTCCTGTGCAATGCCTCCTGAACGGTCTGCCTGAAGTACTATAAATATTAAATAGACATCATCTCCTACCACCCCCAACCCACCTTCGTAAGAGATCTCATACTTAGTAAACACTTCCCTGATTTAAAGCTAATTAAAAGGATTCTTGACCTGTTTCTTCAAACTCCTTATAGAGATGAGACTGT